CCAATTTTCTAGCTCTTTCGCATTAAGAGCACTGAATTTTTCAAGCAAATGTTGCAGAAGCGCCATACGGTCACAATTAGCGACTGATTTTTTGGGAAATTTTAGAAACTCTAATAAGACACTTTTCGCGTATCAGCAGCAGCCGATTTTCCCTATCAAGTCAGGAAGAAATTCTACCGAACGACGGCCTAAAAACCCATTAGTTTAAAAAAATGGCCTCGAAAGTCAATCTCTTTTGATAATACTACACAACTTTTACATCTACCACTTTTCACCATTTTTTGACCTAAATGATCGCGTAGGGGTGCCTACTTATGCGCAAACACTCTGTACGCATATACAGTGCCTTTATTCATGTAGTCTAAAAAAATATATTTGTCACACTTCAATATCACAGTCGTACATCCAGAACTTCACAGCGTTTAGCGGGTTCTTCATCAAACGCCGCGTTTTCCACGCCTTTGCCACCACCATCCAGAGCCTGTTGCTTCTTTTGCAGCTTCCTCAACCGCAAAAAGTTGGACACTTTATTATCCAGCTGCTCGCCGCCGCTGAAATGCTCGGTTATCTGAAAAAGTGTTTTTCCTTCGGTTTCCGGCAACCAGTAGTAGAGGCTGATGACTCCCAAGAGGGCAACGGCCGTGTAGAACCAGAAGGTTCCCGGCAGTGTTAAAAAGGAAATCATTGAGAAGAAGATTTTGTTTGCTATGAAGCCCAAGATGTAGCTGGCTGCTGCTGAGAAGCCGCTTGCTGTTGCTCTGATGTCGCTGTAATAAACCTCGCCTGGAACGGGGACTTTATTAGCTTTTGCTCTGGAAAAGGTGTCTTTTAGGCCAGTTAGAGCACCTACCTATGAGCATCCAAGGCAAAATCCGGATCCCTGTGTGTGAGAAGAAAGCAGCCCCGATCAAGAAGATCATGGGTACCCAACTCTGACCTTCCAACTGAGGTCCGATTTTGGTCTCCAAGTGACTCGCCTCCAAGAATTTAACGTTGATGGTTTGCGCATAGGTGGCGACAACGAAGAAGCAGCATCCCGTGCCCAATAGGGAGAAAAAGTTCATTCGTCTTTTCCCTACGAAATGGACCAGGATGGAGCTGAGGATGCAGCCCAGGGCTTCCGCAACACCTGCAAGATGCTCTTAGGCATTAGTGGGGAGTTTTGGGAGAGCATCCACTCCCAACCTAGGATGATGGTGGCATAGTATTTGTTAATCGGGACGTTGAAGGTGGCGAAAATCTTCACAGCGTAGGTCTGCAGCGGGGTCATCCCGGAAAAGTGCCCAACTCCGAAGGTTAAAGTCACCAAACCAAAGGGCCACAGGAAGTTCTTTTTGGTGAATAACTTCAAGTTCTCTTTGATTTTTGCGAGCGCAGAAACCTCGCTTTGCGGGCCTTGAGAAGATTCGCGCCTAGAAGCGTTCAGGGTTAAATGCTTGGGGAGACTGTGTCTTCCACTCACTTCGTCTTGTTCTTGTTCAATTGCTCATAGAACTCCTTGTATTCGATCAGAACATCGTCCACTGGCAACCATCCTCGAAGCCACGCGATGCTTTTCTGAGCATCCGTCTGCCGGTTCTTCATCACCAACCAATAAGGGCTTTCTGGCACGAAAAACAGCAAAGCACACGCCACAATTGGCAGGACGGAGCTGGCGAGAGCTACAGAGCGCCAATGGAGGAACGTCCCCAAGAGGAACTGCGCCAGGATGCCGACTATCACTGAGACTGAAGAAGTGGCTGCTAAAACTCCGCGCAAGTTTGGAGTGGTGACTTCAGCCAGATACGTCAAGGTCTATGGAAGGAGAATGTTAAATTGTTGCAAAGGGAGGTTTAGGTGTGCCGAACGGTACAGGGTGTCCCAATAGTTTCATCAAGTCTGAACGGTTAGAGATGAGCAAACAATAAAAACTGTGGTCGTCTCTTCATTTCTGGATTCTGTATTTAATTTGCGATTATTTGCTATTCCGTAGTCGATCATGGTTGACCTGCCAAGGGTGTTTTGACAATTAATTGATCCGAAACCGTAAGAGATAGCAACCTGATTTTTGCGTTGGCTGTCAGAGGAACAACTCTTCTTGGGTTTTTGGAGTTTATGGTCTACAAATTACCAAATTTCATATACCACAGCGGAGGCTGCTGTGCTGAGTGAAATATTTGCACTTTGATAATTTGTACAAAACACATTTGAGCCGCCCAGAAACTATAAAGAACGAAGATCAAAGCCCACGTCTTTTATCATATTTAGAATACGGTTTTTCAATGATATTCATATGTCCTATCTGCAAAAATCTACCAGTTACCAGGTCAAAAAGTCGTATTGATAATTACCAAGTCATATTGTCGTATATGATTAAAAATATTTCAATTAGGACATTTGGGCTTGGTATCTGTACTAAGTCGTAATGATCAAAAAGTCATATTGATAATAATTATTAAATCTTTTTGCCGTATGATGTATATGCAAGTGTGGTTAGAGATATTTGGTTGTTTATGGTATTTTAATATTCTGTTGGTATAGCGAACAAGGCAAGTATCTTATATTTAACTATTTCACAATGAAATGTGAGTTTTACTGGCCCTAAACAAGGAATTAGCTCAAAAAATGTCCACATATAGAGCTAATAATTTACATGGCAGACTAAACCAAAATTCTATTGATAATTCACACGATCCAGATTTTACTGTGGAGTCTGAATTGCCAAATCAATCACGAAAATTCACCAAACAAGGAAAAGTACGACAACGGAAAAGTTACAGCAAATCATTACAGGAAAGAAAGAAACTGAAAAGAGGGGAAAAAATTGCACAGCATGACGTGCAAGAAACATGTAAGGAAAATTGTGCAAAAAAATGCACCCAAGCAATTGACATATGGAGACAAAATGCTATAAATAAA